TTTCTTGCAGTGTGCTGTGTACATTGAAGTGGTCCTTGGTAATTAGGACACAGCAACCCTTTGGGAAAATGCAGCTAAGCCCTAAAAGCACCCTTGAGAGGAATGCCAGGGCCTCAGAAGCTTCAACCTCAGATCCCACCGGGGTGAGAGAGCAAGAGGCATGGGACTCTGAGACTCACCCTCTTCATCTTGCTGCAAGCAGGCCCTGACCACTAACTTTCTATATTCCCACTGTGCCTGCCGCCACTGAGCCTGGATCCCACACAGCCTGGGTTTGGCTACACGTTGCCCTGAAATATCCTCTGAGATAGTTCTGAGGGAAAAACCCAACAAAGCCATCAGCCTTCAAGGGAGTCTGATCCCTGTTCCCTGGGTTATGTACATGAGAATATGAGCCCTGGAGAGCTGGCAGGAGCTCTCGATGGTCCCTGGCATCTGGCCCCATCCTCCTCTTTGCACAGCCCAGGTCCAGCTGCTATGGGTGGGAAGGACTGCCAGACACTCTCACAGGTTCCATGCCTACCACTGCCTGAACAGCAGCAGCTGTCAGGAGACTCAGTCCCTTGTCCCAGGTTCACCCCTTCTTAGCTGTGAGGCCCTCTCTAGCTAATTCACCTCTTTGAGCCTCATCTCTACGATGATGATAACAGTAGATCCTCATGGTAATGCTGGAGTATCAAATGAGAAAATGCAGGCGAAGGCTCTTTGCAGAGCACTATACAGATGCAAAGAGCCATTATCAGCCTAAATCCCTGGAATAACTCATGATGAGCTGTCACTTGGGAAATGAGCTAAACCCTTGGAGCCAGATGGAAGCAAACTTACAAATCCACTAGGGCAGCCCCTCACATTCACAGGTCCATCTGAGGCCTGCAGAGGACAATGCCTTATTCACAGACCTTGGCTGGCTGGTTAGGACCATCAGGGTTTCACACCCTTGCCTGGGCTTATCCCATTGCACTGCCTCACATGGCAGAAGCTCTGATTTTTAGCATTTACCCAGAAGTCTTAGGGAACCCATTAAATTCAAAACAAATGTTCAAGGAATTCTACCAAAGCAAAGTCCCAAGGAACTTGGAACAGAGTCACCCCAATCCCAAGAATGCTGACTGGAAAAGCAAAAAACACCTTGCCCCTTAAATAGATGGGATGGTCTTCCCTGGGTGGGTCTGGGTGGGCTCTCATGATGCCCCTCTTATCGTCTTGTCAGAAATTCCTTCCTGGACCCAGGCTATCCCAACAGGGGATGTGGTTACTTGAACCCTAAAGAAGTCTGGACCACGACCTGCCTCAGAGAAATTAGCCCCTAAAGCAGCAGTGTCTCCTGCCTCTCTGCTATTGCCACTAGCCTATAAGAGCTTGCTAAGTTTCTGGCTGGGCACAGTGGCTCACACCTGTAATCCCAGCACTTTGGGAGGCTGAAATGGGCGGATCACAATGTCAAGAGATGGAGACCATCCTGGCCAACAAGGTGAAACTCCATCTCTACTAAAAATACAAAATTAGCTGGGTGTGGTGGCACACACCTGTAGTTCCAGTTATTCAGGAGGCTGAGGCGGGAGAATTACTTGAACCCAGGAGGCAGAGGTTGCAGTGAGCCGAGATCATACCACTGCACTCCAGTCTGGTGACAGAGCGAGACTCCGTCTCAAAAAATAAAAACAACAAATAACAAATAAAAAAAGAGCTTGCTAAGCTTCTAAAGGGGTCATAGGAATATCTAACAGACCTAAAGCCACAGGGTTAACCCAGAACTGTGTTTTGGGGATTTCTTGTGTCATTTTTGGCCTTTTTCTCTAAATATGAAGATAAACTTTATTTTCCACTTTCAATGTTCTTGAACATGATGTGGTCTGATTGCTGTACAGACCCTAAGTTCTTCCCAGAATCTGGCCCCACAAAGTGCCAGCACTATCCTATGGGTGGCTCCAGGGTCAGGGCACTTTGGGGGCTTTGCTTAGGCAAGGTTACTTGGAAGGGAAAGGACAGTCAGAGGTGCTCACCCTCCCCCTACCCTCTGCCACTCAGAGACCTCAGCATGGCCAGGGCTGCCGCTGTGACACAGCAGGGTACAGTCCACACAGGGGAGCAGAGTTAGAACTGAGAATCCAGGACTGAGTTCAAGAAGGAGCGTGAAGAGAACGGAGGCACTGGGTTGCGGCTCGAGGTCAGGATCAAGTTGTGCAGCATGGGGGAGAAAGAGAGGGGTTTGGGATTTATCCCCCAAGGCCTGCTACTTCCACACACTCTCAGGCCAGGATTCCCACCTGAGAGAAGCTGCTTGGGTTGGGTTAAGAGATCCCAAAGTAGGACAAAAGGCCAAGGTAACCTCAGGGGCTGGACAGCCTTGGGGCTGGACAAGGGCTTGAAGCCCTGTTTCTGGATGACCAAGGGCAGAAGTCCGTGGTCTCTGATGGTTCTCTAAAGGGGATGGGGGATGCTACAGACACACTCCCCCCACCCCCAGGGGCTCCTGCAGAGGGTGAGAGCAGCTCTTCCTATAATGCATTTCCTGTCATCCAATTACCAGGCTGCCTGTCTCCTGGCAGAAGCAGCCTCTCTGGAAAAGAGGGCTGGGATGCAGTTAGCACAATCAATCAATCGCAAAACCCCTGGGCGCCACTGGGCTGGCCCCCCACTGGAGCAGAGCTAATTACAAGGGAGGAGAAACAGCATCCTACTTGGGAAGTGGGGACAGAACAGGCAGAAAGAGCCCAAGGGTGGACCAGGGGGGCCTCCAGGCAGAGCCTCCCAGCATCCCCTGCTGTGGCAGGGACCAGCCTCCCAGACCCTCCTTCTTTCTGTTTCTTGGGGCAAGCAGGGGCCAGGAATGCAGACTGGTTTAAATGGTTAAGAAAGACAAGGGGAGTTGGCTCTATAAGGAAAGCTGAGGACACGGCCAGTACCCGCGTGCTCCTCCTGCCATCTACCCAGGATGAGTCCCATCTGTGTTACCTGTCCAGTCCCACTTGCCTGTAGGCCCCTGTGTGTGTTCCAATCACTCAGCCATATGCAAGGGCCCTGAGTGCTCTGTGTGTACTGAATTGAATTAAATGAAATTGACTTGACTGCTGAGGGACAGAATTCAATCCAAATTGCAATTAAATCTTCCTAATTTGAATCTGCTAATTGGAAAAGGCTAGGCAGAGGTTGGCTGCAGTGCAATCTAACTTTTATGGAATTGTTCAATTTAACGGAGAGTGTACCTGAGAATGAGCAGAGGACTGAAGAACATGGAACATGTGAAAGCCACGGTTTCCTGCACCTCGAAGCACCCTTAGCACTCAATTGACTGGAATTATTCTTTGCAATCATTCCTGGGTGTGCACGGGAAGGGCTCCCAAAGCAACCCTGGACTAAGCCTGACAAATGGCTGAAAAATGACACAACGGCACATCAATCTTTAAGATAATTCATCTTTTTCCATTGATAGATTCTATATTCTAAAAAAACAAACTTTTTTTATCTAAAAGTTTCAAGAACAGCATAAAAAATTCCTGTATTCCCTTCACCCAGATTCCCCAAATGTCACTATTTTACTGCATTTCTATTTCCTTTCTCTCTCTGTCTCCTTTTCTCTCTCCTTCACCAAATGTATATAATATACTTACACACACACACACACACACACACACACACACAATCCTCTGTGGAGATTGATGACAGAATAGATAGATGATAGAGAGATAGATAGATAGATAATTAGTAGATGATAGATAGATAGATGATAGATAGATAATAGATAGATGAAAGATAGATATTAGATAGATGATAGAATAGATGATAAATAGATAGATGATAGATGATAGATAGATAATAGATAGATGAAAGATAGATATTAGATAGATGATAGAATAGATAGATGATAGATAGATAGATGATTGATAGATGATAGAATAGATAGATGATAGATAGATAGATGATAGATGATAAATAGATAGATAGATGATAGATATAGATAGATAGATGATAGATAGATAATAGATAGATGATAGATAGATATTAGATAGATGATAGATAGATAGATGATTGATAGATAGATAGATAATAGATAGATGAAAGATAGATATTAGATAGATGATAGAATAGATAGATGATAGATAGATAGATAGATAGATAGATAGATGATTGATAGATATAGATAGATAGATAGATAGATAGATAGATAGATAGATAGTTTTTTTCCCCTGAACTCTTTGCAGGCATGATGCCCTTTACCTCTAAATATTCAGTGAGCTGCACATCTTTTTAAGTTTTCAACGGTTCAGATCCAACCTTAGTTAATATCAGCTCTCTCCTGAGCTAGAACCAGAGTTGGGTGGGACCCAGGATCCAAAACCAAGTGACCCTGCATCTCAGGACAACAAAGACATCTGTCCTGAGTGGGGAAAATTATGGGCAGGTCTCTCAAGGGCTCAATATCTGCAAAGACTCAGCAACAACACTACCCTCAACCTCTCTCCCCAGCCCCCTCCTCAGTCTTCACCTCCGACCTGGCTGGCTTTGTCTCCATCCTTCAAGACGCAGTGTAAGCCCATGTTACATAGCCACTCCACCCCCAGCACTGCCTTGCTGGCACACTGTGGCACTTCTCTGTGGATCCCTTGAGACACACCTCCTCCAGGTAGCCTTTCTGACCACCCAGTTTCTCAGAATTCTCCTTTCTGCTCTCCCCCTAGGGACCACTGGTTCATATCCCCCATTGAACCGGGAAATGTTTCCTATCCCTGCCCCCCTTTTTCCCTACAGGATCATGAACACTGAGTTCCATGCTGGGCACATGATGGCACCCAGTAACATCTGAGCTAATTGCTAGAACCAGGCCCACATGGGACCATCTGGCCAGGAAGGTGGCTGGGAGCAGAAGCAAAGGCTGGGGCCTAAGAACTAGGCCTCTTGCACCTTTCAAAGTGAAGGAAAACAGAAACTCCATGGATCTAGCAAGACCTCCCTCCTTCCTCCCTTCCTCCCTGCCTCCCCCAGGGGCCCAGAAGACTCACCAGTCAGTGCCCTCAGCCAAATACCTGGGCTGAGGCGTCTGCAGTTGGCCGAAGTCGAAGCTGGGGTGGAGGCGGTGGGGGTGGACAGACACACGCTCCTGACTCCGCCTGCACCAGAAGGGATGGAGAGCCCTGGTGTAAGGGTGTGCACACACCGCTGGTTCCCAGGAGCTCTGAGAAACCGGGGCAGCCTGAGGGTGCCCCACTCCTGCAGTCCCACTCGGCACCCACAGTCTATCAAGCACTGAGCTTCGCCACTCTTGACAAACACCAAGGAAGCTTCCCGGATGAGCAGCAGGCTGCAGTTCAGACACTCCATCAGGCTGTCTCCAGCTGCCCGCTGTGCTAAGGTTGCTCCCTAGGTGTGTCCCCAGGAGATTACCTGGTTCCATCCACTCTCTGCCTCTTCACCCTTCTCCTGTCCTTGGTGGGCCATCTTCAAGACACACAGATTTGCCGCCTGCGGGCTCTGTGTACCCTTCAGCTCCCATCATGCTTTTCTCCTCTCCTCAACCCTTTTTCAACACTCTTCCCTGCTTTCATGGCACAGGTCAAAGCCTTCCTCCTCCAGGAAGGCCTCCTTGAACACCTCAGATCATGATGACCTCTTCTCCCTCTGACCTCCTACAACACTCACGTTCTACCTAAGGCACCTCAAACCCTATGGTCATGTATGCCTAGGGCCTTAGAGATCATCTAGTTTGTCAGTTCTCAAAGTGTGCTCCAAGCATCCTTGGGAGTCCCCCAACCCTTTCAGGTGATTCAAGAGGTCAAAACTATTTTCCTAATAATGAAAAATATTAGGAAATTTTCATTTCCTATTTGCCTTTTCACTCTCATTCTGTCACAAATGAACCAAAGGGTTTTCCAGAAACTACATGGCACGTGATTCTGCGAGATTCAATACAGAAGCAGACATGAAAACACTGCTGCCTTCTATTCAGCCACACATTAAAGAGATTTGCAAATATGTGTATAAAAAAGTCATGCTTCTCACTAAATTTACATATAGCAGTTATTTTTCATAAAAATACATTACTGGTGTTAACATGAATTTGCTATCGTTATTTTTAGAGAATTGATAAATATTTGAAACTTTTTAGTTTTCATTTCTAATATGGTAAACATCAATAGTCAAAACCCACACACACAGAAGCTCTTTGTAGTCTTGATTAATTTTTAAGAGTGGAAAAGAGTCCTGAGACCAAAAAGTTTGAGATCCACTGATTACCCAACTCTTTCTCTTGACAGTTGAGGATCAGAGAGGCACAGTGACTTACCCAGGGCCCCACAACAACTCCAGACCTGTTTGATTAGGATTGTCTAAGTTTACTTCCCGTTTGTTTCCTAAGTATTAACATGCAGCCGGACTCTATCTAGACCGTGGACTCTTGAGGGCGGAGCTGGAACCAGCCATTTCCTTTTGGTATTCTTTAGGGCTACTGGGTGTTAGAATCAGGCAGTCATAAAGCTGGAGGGAACACGAGAGGTTCCCTCGTCAGATTTCCTCCCATACCATGCAGAATTTCACTGTGAGGATGATGGATCACCAGTTACCAAGTCCCTGACCCTGCACCTGAGTGATGCGATGGGAACACACACTGGCTTCTGAGGGAGCCCGAGTCAGGCCAGGACAGTGCTCACTGCCTGAGATGAATACCTCTGAAACAATAACTACTTCCTACAAAGACCCACTCGATGACTGCCAGCCAAGCCAGGTAGAGAAGCCAGGTATCCATAAGCCTGTGGCCCCGCCCCAGTCTCTGCTCCACTTAGGCCATGCCCTTGCCCTGGCCCCACCCCCATACTCGCCCCCACCCCCATCCCCCACCCCGGGTCCCCACCTCGAGCCCAGGCAGCACCAACCTGGGGTGCGAGACGAGCCTCCGGTGCTGGGCTTCCAGGAGCTGCTGCTGCAGGAGGTATTGCTGGTGCAGGGCCTGAGGTAGGAAGGAGGGACCTGTGACGTCCTGGAACTGCAGGGTGGGCAGCGGGGTCAGCGATTGGTGCAGGGCGCTGCTGTGCTGGTGGGCCGGGGCCATGTGGGCGCTGAGGCCGGGCTGCGACTGCACGGGGTGGGCCAGCGGGAAGTCGGGAGCGAGCTGCTGCGGCTGTGGGGGGCCCAGGTGGAAGTGGCGGCAGGAGGTAGCGTGAGGATGCTGAGACCTTTGAAAGGGGGCACCTGGAAGGCAAGGACAGAGACATCACCATGAGGACCAGCACCAAGCTGCCATCACACTGACCCTCGTGCCCACTGAGGACAGCCTGGGCTGGTGAAGCTCAAGACCTGTATTAGGACACAGCAGGGTCATCATGATTATAGGTATATGATTATCTTTAACTCAGCCAGGTGAAGGCTGTGTGTATGCATGTGTACCTGTTGTGGGCCAGGGGGAGTGTGTCTTCTTTGATGAATACATAAGCATCATTTTGATAATTAACATACTTCTTTAGAAGCTTTAAGGTTCCTAAAGCTTGGCCTTTTAAATTAGACTCCTATCCAAGCTCACTGACCCTACTACCTTTTTAAAGATGCCACATGGGCTGGGCCAAGTGACTCATGCCTGTAATCCCAGCACTTTGGGTGGCTGAGGTAGGTGGATCATCTGAGGTCGGGAGTTCAAGACAGCCTGACCAACATGAAGAAACCTCATCTCTACCAAAAATACAAAAATTAGCCAGGAGCGGTGGTGCATGCCTGTAGTCCCAGCTACTTGGGAGGCTGAGGCAGAAGAATCACTTGAACCCAGGAGGCAGAGGTTGCAGTGAGCCAAGATGGAGCCACTGCACTCCAGCCTGGGCAACAAGAGCAACACTGTCTCAAAAAAAAAAAAAAAAAAAGCCACATGGAGAAAATTTAGTCCAGATTAGCCAAGCTCTGAAACTCACTGAACCCTGGGCAGCCAGGACTCAACCCATATGGAACCCTAATTCCCAGAGAAAAAACAACCAGAAGTTGTTTTATATACAGCTTTAAGGAAAAAAAAAAAAAAAAAACACAGATCACACAAAATAGTTTTTTATTTAAGTAATTGTTAAATAATTTTTTATAACATTATCGTTGATTTAAAAGCCAACATGTCCAGGTCGAAGCTGGGTTCAGGCTACATTCAATTTGAGCTCTAGTACTTTTCTAAATAAAATTGAGCTTGTTGAAAAGAAAGCCTTACAAATTCTCTCTGAGTGAAAGTCCAGCTCTAGGTGCTGAAGTGAGGCCTTTAATAAGGCCAGGAAGTAGATCAGGAATTTCAGAAAGAGTTGCAGAAAACTTCCTGCTAAACATGGCAGATTCAGTACATGTCTGCTCCTCCCAGTACCCACTAAAATGAGAACAAAGGAATAAAGAGACAATAAACAGACAAGGACAGAGAGAACAGGAGAGGTGACATCAGCAGGCAACAGATGTCAACAAGGTTTTGGAAGAAAAGGAAAGCAGATGGAGGAATTCGTAGAACAGAGAAACTGAAAGAAAACAAAGCACCTACCGAAGGAGCGGTCTAGAAGAAATGGACAAGTCTCACCACACAATGCTAGAAGTGTCAGGAATTGGAGGCAGTGGCTACTTTGGAAGGCAGGAGAAAGGGCGGAGCAGAGAACAGGGAGACTGACTCCAATCTGCGTAAGGAGCAGTTCTGCCCAGGGCTCCTCCCCCGTCTCATGCAGGGGAGTGACTTTCTCTCCCAGAGAAGCCCAGATAGGAGTGGGGGTTGACCCGAGGCAGAAGAGGGCAGGAGTGCAGCAGCATGCTAAAAACAAAGCAGGATTCAGTGAAAGTCTGTATATGGAACTTTGGAATCCCTGTCCTCCTCTACTACTTGGTGCCAAAAACACTGTTACCCAAGCTTGTGACCCTCCCCTGTACCCTCCACAGCCCCACGGTGAAACTGGGGGATGCTTCTCTAAAGAAAATCATTGGTCCCAGGAAGAGCTATGCAGATACTTCTGGTTGAGAGCACCCCAATTAAATCATTCACTCTAGAATGAAGTTCAGTCATTGAAAAGTCCATTCTCATCCTCAAGGTCCACAGACATTCTAGACAGCTGTAGTGACCTACTCTTTGACATGAACAGACAGCGTAAGAGTGATCAGTCTTTTGATTTCAAAGTGAAAAGCGAAAGAGAACCCACCAATTTTTAAAAAATGAACTCAGAGGATCATGTCCTTTGCAGGGACATGGATGAAGCTGGAAACCATCATTCTCAGCAAACCAACACAGGAACAGAAAACCAAACACTGCATGTTCTCATTCATAATTGGGAGTTGAACAATGGGAACACATGGACACAGGGAGGGGAACATCACACACTGGGGCCTGTCAGGGGGTAGGGGGCTAGGGGAGGGATGGCATAAGAGAAACACCTAATGTAGATGACTGGTCAATGGGTACAGCAAACCACCATGGCACGTGTATACCTGTGTAACAAACCTGCACGTTCTGCACGTGTATCCCAGAACTTGATGTATAATTTAAAAAAAAAATATGAACTCAGAGGAACAGAGTTATTGCAAGGACCAGAAAAAAATTAACTTCAAAACAATATAATCAATATCCTCAGGAAAACAAGATGTTGGATCCATGCAGCTACAGGAAGCTCTTGAAGAAGGATCAATGAGAAAATGAGAAAGGAGCTCTTGGAAATTAGAAATGTATGCGGTGAAATGAAATTCAGCAGGGAAGTTGGAAGACAAAGCTGGAGACATTTTCCAGAAACCAGATGAGACGACAGAGCAATGGGAAGTGGGAGAAAAAAGATGTAAACACTGAAGGAACAGTCAGACGATTCCACATTTCACTAGGAAGAGAGAAAGAATGGAGGAAATGATAGGGAGAAAATTAGGGAAAAAATTATAACCCCTATTTCCTACAACCAAAAGTCTGCATTTCTAGATAGAAAAGGCCTTCTGAGTGACCAGCAAAGTAGATGGGGGAAGGAAATCCCCCACTCCCAAAAGACACCTCCCTGTGAAGTGTCCAAACAACCAGAGCAAAGAGATGGTTCTAACACCTTCCAGAGAAAAATCAGATGGGTTTCATTTCAGAATAGCTTGAGATTTTTCAAGAATAAATCCAGAGGCTTGAAAACAATAGAGCAGCTGCCTTCAAGGTATTGAGGGGAAAGGGTGATTTCCAATCTAGAATTTTCTGCCCAGCCAAACCATTCATCGAGTATGAGAACAGAATAAAGCCATTTTCAAAGATACAGGAGCTCAAAAAAATTAACCTTCTTGACACTTCTTAAAAAGGTACTAACACAAACCAAGAAAGAGAAACAACAAAATAGGACTGCACCCAACAGCGGTGGGAGGTTTCCCAAGCACACAGCTGTGCAGGGACTTCTGCAGCCATTCCACAGGGGAGCAGGAGGGTGAGGGGATCTGGAGGAGAGGAGAGGGGACTGGAGACAATGGGATTATTGATGAAGGGCTAGGCACAGTGGCTCATGCCTGTAATCCCAGCACTTTGGGAGGCTGAGGGGGGAAGATCACGAGGTCAGGAGATCGAGACCATCCTGGTCAGCATGTTGAAACCCCATTTCTACTAAAAATACAAAAATTAGCTGTGGTTGTGTGCACCAGTAATCCCAGCTATTCCAGAGGCTGAGGAAGGAGAATGGCTTGAACCTGAAGGCAGAGATTGCAGTGAGCCAAGATGGTGCTACTGCACCCTAGCCTGCCAACAGAGTGAGACCCCATCTCAAAAAAAAAAAAATATATATATATATATGGCCCCATGAAAATGGTACTACTGCACAGTGGCTCACATCTGTAATCCCACTGATTGGAGATTTGGAGGCTGAGGCAGGAGCACCACTTGAGGTCAGGAGTTCAAGACCAGCCTGGACAACAAAGCAAGAAAGAAAGAAGAAAAAAGTATTTTTTAAAAAAAAGTATTTGGCCAGATGCAGTGGCTCATGCCTGTAATCCCAGCACTTTGTGTGGCCGAGGCAGGTGGATCACAAGGTCAGGAGTTTGAGACCAGCCCAGCCAATATGGTGAAATCCCATCTCTACTAAAAACACAAAAATTAGCCAAGCGTGGCGGCATGTGCCTGTAGCCCCAGCTACTCGGGAGGCTGAAGCAGGAGAATTGCTTAAACCCGGAGGCAGAGGTTGCAGTGAGCCGAGATCATGCCACTGCACTCCAGCCTGGGTGACAGAGCGAGACTCCATCTCGAAAAAAAAAAAAAAGTATTTGAAGATTTGAAGGGATTTTGTAATGTGATAGAGAATTTGGTAAGAATCTGTTAAAATGCTATAGAAAACAAGGCAATCAAAAGAAAATGATGCAATTATTATGAGCAAGGAAAGAAAAGGTTGTGTAAGAAAGTGTGACTACCTGTATGATGCTGTACTTGGCTCAGCAGTAAACAATATTTCTATATTAACAATAAATAATTAAGAAACTATATTAGAACAGAAAGGACGTTTCTTCCACAGTATAAATAGCATAGGCAATATCGGAAATTGAAAAATTCTGACAAATAGAAATCTAATCATTGGTTGTAAATTTGCTTGGTAATTTATGTCTTTCAGGAAAGAAATGCCTGAAGAAGAGGTAACAGCATGCTGCGGTTGAGGGATGTGCCTCTGGCGTGGAGGGCAAAGGGCAGACCGAAGCTGCGTAGCTCAACGTGTCTTATACTAGCCTGTTCAGCCTTGTAGATGACGTGCATGTCACTGATCAACTTTTAAATAATCTTTGCAAAAAGAAATGAAAATCCAAAGAATTTCTGCCTGTCTGCAAGTGAGCCAGAAAAGAATTATCTAGAACGTTAATTCCCACAAGCATTTCCATAAGCCAGGCCTCTCTGCCTTACAGATTCTGGCTTTGGTAAGTCGGGGGACTGCAGCACGAGCAAGCACGCACCAGATCCCCTTCCCCTCATTCCATCGTCTTCCATCACACAGGACAAAGGGAAGGAGAGTAACAGTGTGACAGAGGGAATGAGGGCAAGAAAAGGGAAGCGCTGCAGAAGGATAAAGAGCAGTGGAAGATAAATGCAACTGTAAAGGAAAAGAATGGGATGAAAACGAGTATTGTCAAGACTCTCACCCAGCACTGTCCCGCTGAATTATAATGTGGGCCACATAGGGAATGTTACATGTCCTAGTAGTCACCTTTTAAAAAGTAAAAAGAAACAGATAAAATTATTTTAATAATATATATTTCTGTAATTCAAC